CATAAGGAGATAAATTGAAGGGTCAGACAGGAAGAATGAGGATGTATTCAACTGATTGAATTTTACTTTGCAATATTTACATGGGTATATAAAACACAGGTAAAGTCTCCGTGAAGAATTCTAGGCTGTGGTAAATTTTAAGATTCGTACTATATTGAAGATTGTAAAAAGCATAAAAATAAGTTCACCTTGGGAAAAAGTACAGAATTTTAAAAGAGGAGGTTTAAGAATGAAACTCTAGGAGATATGAGAGTTTAGAATATGAGGGTAGAAAGAGAAATTGAATAAGAAAAAATGTATCACTCTGTTAGAGATGAAATAGAAGGGCTGTTAAATTGCGGAAACATAACCTTTCCAACAAATAATTATAGGAGAACTTGATACTCACATGCAAACAATGGAGCTGAGCCTCCTTTTCACAACTATACAAAAGTTGGATCACAGACCTATCTTTAAGATCTAAAACAATACAAATCTTAGAAGAAGGCCAGGTGCAGTGGCTCATGCCTGTAATCCCAACACTTTGGGAGGCAGAGGCAGGCAGATCACCTGAGGCCAGCAGTTCAAGACATGCCTGGACAACATGGTAAAACCCTATCTCTACTAAAAATACAAAAAAATTAGCTGGGCATGGTGGCAGGTGCTTGTAATCCTGGGAGTCTGAGGCGGGAGAATCCCTTGAACCTGGGAGGCAGAGGTTGCAGTAAGCTGAGTTTGCACCATTGCACTCTAGCCTGGGCAACAAGAGCAAAACTTCATCTCAAAACAAAACAAAACAACAAAAAAAAAACCACTTAGAAGAAACATAGGCATACATATTCATAACCTAGTGTGAGGCAAAGATGTCTTAGCTACAACATCAAGAGCATAATAATAAAATTAAAAATTAGGTGAATTGAACTTTATCAAAATTAAAAATATTTGTTCTGCAAATGACACCAACAGTCCGTGGATTAGGAAGCATTTTCAAATCACATATCTAAGGGGGAATTGTAGCCAATGGATAGATAGAACTCTTACTACCCAAAAATGTAACTCAAAAAATTAATCGAAATAAATAATTTAAACATATACATCTCTTAAAATGTATATGAATAGCCAGTAAGCACATGAAAAACTGTTCAATGTGATTATCTGATAAATGCAAATAAAAACAATAAGACTTCACATAAGCTAAGATGGCTATAACAATAAAATGATAGGCAAATAATGGCAAATAACAAGGTTGTAAAGAAACTGATACCTTCCTATGTTACCAATGAAAATGTAAAATGGTGCAGCTATCTTGAAGAAGAGTTCACCAGTTTCTCCAAATATGAAACATAGAGTTGCCATATGATCCAGGAATTCCACTTCTAGGTATATATCAAAGAGAACTGAAAACAGATGTTCACACAGAAGCTTTTATGTGAATGAGCATAGCAGCTTTTTTCATAATAGCTAAAATATAGAAACAACCTTAATATCCATTAACTAATGGATGGATAAACAAAATGTGGCATATCCATACAATAGAGTATTATTTAGCAATAAGAAATGAAGTAACGATATATACTATGAAACAGATGAACTTTAAAACATGAATGTGAAAGAGACTACCCACATTAAACCATATATAGGATGATTTAATTTATGTGGAATGTCAAGAACTGGGTCAATCATGGATGAACCTGGAAACCATCATTCTCAGCAAACTGACACAAGAGCAGAAAATCAAACACCGCATGTTCTCACTCATAAGTGGGTGTTGAACAATGAGAACACATGGACACAGGGAGGGGAGCACTACACACTGGGGTCTGTTGGGGGGGAAATAGGGGAGGGACAGTGGAAGGTGGGGAGCCGGAGAGAGATAGCATGGGGAGAAATGCCAGATATAGGTGATGGGGAAGAAGGCAGCAAATCACACTGCCACGTGTGTACCTATGCAACAATCTTGCATGTTCTTCACATGTACCCCAGAACTAAAATGCAATAAAATAAAATAAATTTTTTTTAAAAAAGACAGAAATTAGATTGGTGTCTGCTGGGGGTCAGGAGAAGGGATAAAGAGGGGACAAATGAGTGATTACTCATAGGTACAGGGCTTCTTTCGTGGATGATGAAAATGTTCTGGAATTATATAATGATGATGATTTCATAATCTCGTGGATGTATATAAAAACACTAAATTATACATGTTAAAATGGTGAAGTTTTTGGTACCTGAATTAAATCTCAATAAAGCCGTTTTTAAAATAGCTTCTATGTCCCCTAATCCTAGCACTTTAAGAGACTCAGCACAACTGCTTGGGTTTTCTTTATTTTCTTTACCAGACTTCGGCACAGTTATTACAAACAATGCTCATTGATTCCAGTGTTCGGACCCAGCATAGGATAAGTAGATTAAGGTAAGTGAATTGCTATCTGTACTACTGTATCTTTAAAATTCATTTACCAATTCTCCCAAGCCACAAAATTTATTCTGGATTTGAGTTTTTATGTGACCATGTGGACAGAATGTCATGAGTGATGAAGATTCCTGGTTTTGTAATTTTCCTAGAAGAAAAGACTTCTGCTGAGAGACACATCTGTACTTGAATTCAAAATAATACTTCAATTCTCTAAATCTGCGGGAGTTTCAAGAATCTCACTTATGCTCACCTTTCAAGATGTATTTCCCTACTGTGTTGCTCTCATGCCCTTCCAAGTTAGATGTTTTTTGGGGGAATTGTTTTCTTTGTGGCTTGCAGTAAATGCACAAAGGCCAACAAACTTTGTGGTTTTTTATAGATATCCAATATAAAGACAGTGTAAAGAAAGTTTATTCTGATACTTTTTATTCATTGATAATATTAGGTAATTTGTTTGTTGTTTTATGTTGTATGCCTAGTTGAAAGTAATAAAACGTAGTTTGGGGAAAGTCTTTTCTGACATGGGTATAATTTTTTTTCCCCTAGAATAAGCATACAGTTTGAAGTGATGCAGACTGAATTTGAATGCCACTGAATTGCCACTATATAAGTCACTGAGTGACCTTGAGCAAGTTACTTAACTACTTTGAGCCTGTCACCTTAACTGTGAAAGAGAAAAATAATAGAAATAACTACCACATTTGGTTTCTATGATTAGGACATAAGATAAGGGATGCAAAGTTGTTACATAAAAAAGAAAAAACGTTCTACAAATATGAGTGTTATTTCCTGGTGTACACGTTTTTAAAAAGTTACCAAGTAGCCATATGTCTTTGTTGAGTATACAACTCAAGTGATCTCCTTCAAAATGAGCAGGGAATCTATTGTTGGAAAGCCCTGGCAGGCACAAACTAGAGTTTATATTTTACTTGGAATCAGAGTTCTGTTTTAGGAGTGTGGTGTCATTTTTTTTCTTTGTAAATGATAAGCAATTCATATGTTAGTTTATACAAATAAACTATGCCTACTTATTGGGTATATACAAGATCCATAATATTGTGGCTCTTACTATTATTGCCCAATGGGCTAATATTCACTTTTCAAAACTTATTACTCATCTAGTTTAGCAGCTTGGGATTTTAAAGCTAATCTATTTTATATGAATGTCTTAACCTTCAATCCCATTTAAAAAAACAAATCAGTAAATTAGATGGTTAAGCTTTTAGACTTGCATCCTCTTTAAAATAAAGCTTTACAGCAAATGCATTTTTTTAACAAATGTCTTAAAAAATGAGATTACAGAGGATGTATTATCTAAACGGTTCTGTAACGAACTTGCCCTTGAAATAATTGGAATATGAATTGAATCCTCTGGATAGCAATTCCTGGACACAGCTGTTCATTGTCTTTTGGGTCTTGGTGCATCTCAGCCTTTACTGAACACAACTTTGTGTCAAACACTGGGCTAGGAGTGCTAGGTGTGATGTTTGAGGCAGCAGTGGAATTTTTCTTAGGATTTAGTAGAACCAGTTGTTGTTGTTGTTTTGGTGGTGGTGGTGTTTTCGAATATAGCTAGCTACATTTTGATGACATTCAGTCTGCTCACATCTGTATTAGTGGTAATATTAACTTCTATTTCACTAGGATGGCTCTTATGAATATTAAATTAAAATGTGTGAAGTGCTTTCTACACAGTTATTTAAGTAGGATAATATCCTGATGGGATACACACACACACACACATGCAACATATCATGTTATAAAGATCCTAGAATGAATATCTCAGTAGCAGAAGTTCTGTTTCTCAGAACTGCTTTTGCAAAAGGATATTTTTTGTTGGAATCCTGCTATTTAATTTATCTAATTAAATTTTCTAAATAGAGCTTATTAAATATTTGCTGTTTATTACAGAACATTTAAAAATATAGAAAACAAAATGACCTACAAAATCCTCTGCCTTCCAGTACCGTCATTCCCAGTTGATTACTGCTAGCATTTTAATGACTTTTTTTTTTTTTTTTTTTTTTTTTTTTTTTTTTTTTTCCTGCTAGGTCTCCTTGATGAGTTTCACCCGAGGAAAAGGATTCCTTCAGGTGTGTGGACTTGAGCCACTAGGTCCAACCACATTGGCAGCTGCTGGTACAAACAGAGTGAAATCAGAGGAAGATCAGAAAGCTTCAAAACCTAGAGCGGCAGATGTCTTAACGGTCCCGAAACGTTCTTTGGTTCTTTGCAGTCGACGACATTCATGGGTTAAGAAGCTTGCAATGCCATGACGGGCTGAGAGTGCATTTCTGGACGCTGCTTACTCCGGCTTCCTTCCATCTGTGTCAGGCAGATCATTATGCAGTTCTAATTAGAACAACGTTCTAAGCACTCTCTCCAGGGCGACGTTCTTCCAAACCCCGTTTAAGCGGACGAGAGACACCTGCCCAGGACCCTCCGCGTCTGTAAGTCTCTCCCAGTGAATTGGGTCTCATCTCCTGCAGAGTACGCAAGTTCAATTACCGGCAGATTAGGTTTCTGCTCCCCGCGCCCCGCCCCTCGCCATCCCGTGGAGCCGCGGGAATAAATGAGCTTCTGGCCGGCGCTCGCGCGAGCGGCCGGAGCGCAGCCCGGTGACTAGAGCGCGCGGGGCGATCGCGAGGCCCCCCCTCCCTCTCCCCGCGCCGCCTCCAGCGCGAGTGACAGCGCGCCCTCCGGGCTCCGGAGCGGCAGCGCCGAGCAATCCCGGGCAGGGCTCGCCTCGCCGGTGACATCACTCCTGAAGATATTCCTCGCTCCCAGCGCCTGTCTTCACCAGGCGTCCGTCCGTGGGTCCGTCTCCGCCTTTCCGCCGCCGAAGAGGGCGCCTCGCGGGCTGGGAACAGAGCCGGGTACCGAGGAGCCACAGGATCCCCAGGAGAGAGAGCGAAGGCAGCGAGGGAAGGAGGACCCCGGCAGGCAGCAGCATGAAATTCAGCCCCGCGCACTACCTGCTGCCTCTCCTGCCTGCGCTGGTCCTCAGCACCAGGTGAGTCCAGGGGCGCTGCGCGGGGCGAGGTTGGTTTACTGTGGGTCACCAGCGGGGGTCAAGGCACTTCAGCTGTTTGCATCTCCCGCCTTAGCAAGAGGGACGCTGTAAGGCTTGGACTGTGAAATCCTTCAGAGAGAGCAGAGCCCTTTTCTAGTTATCCCAGCCCCCTGGAGAAAGTCTTAGGATTGCTCTCAGAAAGGGGATCAAGAGCTTCCTCTTCAGACGGAAAGAAAAGACATTTTTCCCTCAGGTCCTATTAGTAGCCAACAGATAACACGCGGCAAGAGAACAAAATAAATAACGGAAATAGACAAGGAGGGAACTGACGCTAGGCATTGGAGTTGTCTGAATAGCCATAGAGCTGGTCCCTTCCCCCAGGTGTGCTTGATTTAAGGAAGAGGGAAACAGAGGAAACAGATTAATCCTGGAAGATGCTAAGACTTGTACAAAAGTTCCTAGACTCCTGAAATGGCCTGTTTCAACGTCTTGGATAGGCTTAGTGATAGGCGTTTTCTTCTGTCTTGTGAACAGGTCTAATTAAAGAGCACAGAAGGCGATTAAAAGTTAGAAGACACTCTCAGAGTGCTGATGCAGAGACCCCAGTCAGAAACAATTAAGTACTGTACTCCATCACTGGCCATGGATGGGACTTTAAGCCCCATTACAGAGGAGCTATTTTTAGTGGAGATTTAAAATGCAGAGATTGAGGAGAGTTTTGTGACTCCCCACTGTTGATCAAGTCCCAAAGTTGTGATGGGTTTCCTTTCTTCTTCCACAAGCACAGTACAAAGGTGGACTGTTTAGTTGCCCAGGACTGAGTCTTTATTCTGCATGCCCTTAGCATCATATTGGCAGCAACCTCTTTCCCTTGGCTACTGTAAAATAAAATAACCCACACAGGATGAAGACCCTTTCAAATCTACATGAATAGAAACGTTATTAGATTGTGCATCTGATGGCTAATAAAGTGGAGATAATAGGGTTGTTTCTAATTCTGAAATTGAACAGGGTGAAGAAAACTCACTGTCTTAAAAATCAAGGCTGTAAAATTCTTGATTCCATTTCTAATCTACTTACACACCTTCTTTCTGGCCTATGTAACCAAACTTTCCTTTTAGTGTACGGACTATTTCATTTACCTTCAATAATTGATAAATTTAGTCTTTCCTTGTGAACAAAGCCTAGGTGACTTTGCCAGTTTAAAATGAAATGTGAGTTCGATTCTTCATTTTGTCTAAGGTTTGCTTGTCACTTCCACTCATAAAATGTAGATGGTTTTAAAGAAAACCAGTTTGCTTCCCAGTATTATGATTAGTTGCTCTAAATACAGAGCCTATTTTAATATTTGTAGTTAGCTCTCAACAGTTCAATACAAATTATGCATCACAGTTATTCTTTAAATTCTTACCATTCACTCTCGTGTTGTGATTTAGTCTTCTAGAGAAAGGAAATTTTCTAACTTTGGACACTTAAGTAGATGTCAGTCAACACATATGCACAAAATAGTAAATATTTAAACAATAGAAATCCAGCCCACAGTGATTTTAGACTGTGACTATCTCTAGAATTCCAAAAGTACATTTGCTTTTTAAAGATATTATAATTTAATTGAATGAAAAAGCTATATAGTCTCTAGCTTCCAAACTTTTAATGTTTATTATCTAATACAGGGTCAAAGAGCCATTATCTTTTCCTTTCATGAAAGTGTTGATTTTGATAGGGATACATTTCTTTAAACATAGTAAACACACTTATTACCACAAAAACTGGAATAGCCATCTAGTTCACTTTAGCTCTGAAACTTCTGCAATGCTGATTGTATGTGAAAACTATGACTGGGTCATTAAATTTTACCAGAAGAAAATGCTGGGCTTGAAAAAAATGAAATGTTCATAATAAATAGCATCTATTATTAGTGTGATTACTATGTAGCAATTCATTTTACTGGATACCCAGAATACCCTGTGATGTCGATAAAATATGAAAATGAATGTGGCACTATCAGTGTCATTTTGCAAGAAGAGAACATGTTTTAAAGATCTCCAACAGAAGGCCATTGGCTGTACAATAGTTAGCAGTTCTTATAGGCACATGGTTATTGTGCGGATTACAACCTAAACTGAGCAGCTTTGAAAGGACACTTGCGTTAGTAGGGATGAGCTTATTGTCCTGCTGGGAAAAGCTGACTGGCTCAGCCATGGCCACCTGTGACATTGGGCTTTCTCGCCAAAGACTTTGTTAACTTAGTTTCTTAGTCAGTGGTCCTGTAAGTGAAGCAAATGGTATTTCACACATTTATTTCACATGCTGGATTCATTAGCAGAGGGTGCTAATTGCTAGTTTTTCTATAACCTTTGAGTAACGTCACCTGTCTTTTATTGTCAAACTCTTTCCAAAGTGTAGGGAACTTGGAGAGGAGACTCTTAATGCAAAAAGGTATTTGCTTCCTCATCTCTTTCTCTGAGTGCAGTGCCTTAATACTTTGCTATTTTCTTTCCAATAGGTCTGAAGTTCAGTTTATTTTAAAGTTATCTGTTCACTGAAACAAATGCTGAAGGTGAAAAGGTAGTCTTTTGACTGTGTTGTGAACAGGTTTAATGGTATCTATCCCACAGCGACAATCCTGCCTTTTAAATAGAAATTTTGAATAGAAAACAATGCTGCCTTTTAAATAGCTCTCTCTCTGTTTGCTCCTCCTCCTCCTCACCTTTTCTGAAGCAACTTTAGATGCTGAAGCACAAAATCCCGTAATTTCATCACAGTGAACATCAATGGCCCCCAATCAGAGTTAATTTATTTGTCCTGAAAGAAAGCGAAATGTTCACTTTACACAAAAGCCAAGCATTTTTCTGTTTTACTGGTAAACCCCATAGAGTTTTAGAAAAAAAAAAAAATGAAGAAAAAGACCTGTTTCATTTCCTGGCACATGGTCTCTCCTGTTTAGAAAGTGCATATAAATTACAAAAAAATCAAGTTAATGATATGAATGATGTAACTAATACAGAAACTCATTTAAACTGCACACAAATAAATGTGGTCAAAGAAAGCAAACATGTTGGTTTAATAGCTTTGGAGTAAAATGACTGTACTTTTAAAATAGCCTTGTTGTATGGTATTAAATTGCTATTCCAGGGTAGCCAGTAATTCACTTCAGAAAGTGTAGGTATTGAAAGTAATGGTAGGGTGAAAAATTCTTTAGAAGTTCTTGGTGAAAAGGGACCCATGGAGTGCTGGAGAAGGCTTGTTCTTTAGTCTGCTGAACCTCTGTTCCTTTATGCTGTGGTTATACTCTTGATGCCTTTGGATCGTTAACTTTTAAATGACTTAATAGGGAGAGAGACATGGCAGGGAGGAGTGAAGGTCTACTGACTTCTGGTGGTTTTCCATGAAGCAAGAACTTTGAGCAGATGGTCGGTCGGTTATAGTCCTCCCAATAGGAGTCACCTTAGAGGTCTTTCCTGGACCCTCTGATCAGCAGTTGTACCACATGTTTGTTTTGGAATCTATTTTTAGGCGATACTATATATCGAGGATGCCCCAGGCTATTTGTTCTGTGAATTAAACTAACCTCAAGATCAACATAATTTGGAGAATAAAGGACAAGAATCGAAATAAACACGACGAGTACACACAACAAATATTTTTACCCAAATAAATCTGATGCAAGAAGCAGTCTTACCTTAACTCTCCTGAAATATTTTGAGGCAATATGGGTTTCCTAAGTCCTGTGCACAGTGTGTGCCACACATGACATTTTACAGGACCCTACCTACATTCCTTTATTTGTGATTAGAAACTGTACCTTCTGTGTAAATGAGTTAGAGGAATGGCTTTCTTAAGAAGATATCAACACACAAATATTTTGACTTCTCAAATTTCAGTTTCAGATCTTAGTCACCAATTTCCAATAGCAGTTTTTAAAATGACTTATTTGGTGATTATCGTTGTGGATTAAATTTTCTCTGTGATTAATGAGAGGGACACCTCAAATATTTGATTTGTCTGTACAGTTGTCCTTAACCAAACTGCATGTAATTAAAAGGAAGAACTTGACCTTCTAACCAGAAAGCAAAAATCACTGAAACCACTGAGGAATGCATAGTTCTAATGGAATAATGTTTTCTCGTGTGCGTTATGAGAAACTAAGTGTGTGGCTGTTTCTCAGTGACTTCTAGAAGATTTGCTAAAATCTCTTTAACAAATGGTGCTAAATCATTTAAGTAACCTGATTAAATAGATACTGTTTAAAATTATGGTTCCGTTTCTGAGAAATCCAAAAAATTCTCTGAGCCTGTCTTCATCCCTGTAGACATGTCTTTGATGTTTCATTATTATGCATTAAGAATGTGCCTGCTATCAGTCAGTTGTTGCATGAATTATCAGGGCAATAAAACAATACATTAAATATATCCATCATCTAGTCATATATACAAATAACTATATATAAAGCAAAATTTGGTAAATAACAACAAAATCTTACACAAATTTCTAAGTCCGAATGAAGGAAAGAGTGAATAATGCCAGTTAAGGAGTATCAGAGGCAACTTTACTTTCCAAGGACATTGAGAAGAAAAATGTTGTGTAATCAACCTCAGTATCTTGCAACACTTACTGTATGTTGTTAGGTAAACTTCTTATCCTCTCTATCCAATTTTCTGATGTAGAAAACAGACCTTTTCATAACACCTGCTTGAGAAGGTAACAGCCTTCAATTGCAAGGACTGAATGAGTTCCACTATAGGAAGGGTTTAGCATATTCCCTGGAACACAGTAAGGACTCAACAGAGTACTGTACAGTTATTATGGTACTATTAACATTACTTTTATAAAATCTTTGTGTTTGATTTGGATATAGCAGAAAAAATGATAAGAAATAGATACAAATCGATTAGGTGACATGAAATTAACAAGAAGCACAGTATCATCCAAAAGAAAAAGAGGATTGGTAGAGAAGAGAGGAAGCTGGAGGTGTAATGAGGGTTAATCAGTTATTAGGC